CCCATGAAGGCCTCACCCATGAAGGCCTCACCCATGAAGGCCTCACCCATGAAGGCCCCACCCATGACTGCTATTGCAGTCCTCAACCCCTACCAAAGCAAGTAAGTTTAAGTGGATGGATCTTTTTGTCTTTTCTTAATATTTTGATGTATTTGTAGTTCAAGGTTCTTTATTATTATTTGCATCACATTTGGTACATGAGGTGGAATGTAATTGTGTATTCAAGGTCCCAGTTGCACCGAAAAGTACCAAAAATATAAAGTATAAAATAGAAACCGTATACAATAATATAAGATATATGCTAAACACTAATAATGTAAAATAATAGTGTATTAAACAGCAGCCTGAACATGAGTGTAGTGAGCAGATGGGTATTCAAATTCTTTATTGGGCACTTCTAAGCAACTTAAATCTGTCTTGGACGCGTTCCCTTCTGTTTTCTTAACAAACTGTGTAAGCGTTTTGTCATTTCACGTTCAGATCAATTTCTCTACTGCTCAATCGTCAGCAAAACTATTTTCTCTGATGTTGTGACTCCGGTTCATTCTTGCTGCCATTTCTCTGTAACACTTCAGGGCATGCTTGAAAATGTGTGTTGGTGCAGGCATCTGCGAGCTTTTATTATTTATTTATTTTATTCGAAAGCGTGCGCTTCTGTGGGCTTGAGTGTATGCATGCAATTCAGTCCATTTGCATGGAAATGAAATGAAATGACTGATCTTGCCTCAAAAATTGACATTTTTAAGGCAGGTACTGCTGGGTTTTTATGTTCTGCTGCTGAGGTTTTGATTCTGTATTTTGCCCTACTGGGGATACAGCCAGCCTCATCTGTCCCCCACCCCCCACCCCACCCTTCACTCCCACAGTTACTGCCCCAAGTTTCCATTTTATTGCAGTTTTCCCTCTCTTATTTTTTTGTCATTTCATTAAATATATGTCGCTGAGCTTGAAGATGACTAAAAAACAAGAGTACAAAATAACAAGGCATAGTCACCCAGATTAAAGTAAAGGTATTTTGTCAACTCTCCATGCTTAGGCTCTAATAACATAGATGCGCTTGAAATGGAAAGCTGTAAAAATAATTCTGCCTCCAGGTGTTGTAATAAACTGATGACTGTTCTAACTTTGAAGTTGAGGAGTACCCATAGTGAGTAAAAATATGACTTCAGCAGTTGTGCTTCTTACATGAAGGTCTGTGTCTAAAGAAATGTGAAGTTGTGTACTTGTGTGACAGCATGAGAACATGCAGATATTTTGATTATCCATTTTCATGGCTTTCCTATCGCAAGTTCTGCTCGTTTTAAGTAAAATGCTTTACCACAAAATACCATAACTCTACCATAAACTTCAGTGTAGCTATCTTATCCACACTGAGCAGGAAATGGAGCTCACTCTGGGCCAGCAGCTGCTCTTGTGATGGAGGATTTAATTGCAGGAAAAGTTATAGCATGAATATTCTCCATTGCACAATTATCAAGGCAATGAAAAAGTTCACTGTTGCATGAAGTGCACAGCTTGGCTGGTTGTTGTTAAAAACAGAACAAGGAGCATATTTAAAGTTTATCCTGGAGTTGTCGAACACAAAACACTTAGTTCCCTCTTTCAAAAAAAAAGTTGTTCACTTTTTTATTTTACAGAACTTAAAAATAAATGAAGTCCTACATTTTAGATGGTAATTTTTCCATTCTCCTGTTTGGCCAGCTCTTAATAAATGAATAAAAACTCATTTACATTGTCTTTTTCTTTGTGGATGTTTTCTGTGTTGGCAGTCTAGATCTTTAATAAGTTAATTTTATTTAAAATAATTATGCAAAACATTTTCTTAAAAAAAAATCACCTATATAACACTTTGTGTTAGGATGTACTCCTAAAGCACCGATTCACCAACGCAAATTTCTCTGTATTGTTTATCTCAGGTGGACTGTCAGAGCCAGAGTCACAAACAAGTCAAATATCCGTAACTGGAGTAACTCCAGAGGGGAGGGCAAGCTCTTCTCCTTTGAGATATTGGATGAGAGTGTAAGTAGAAAGGTCCCAACTTTTGTCTGTAACATGCTAGTATACTGTATGTTACACATGGCTAGATTTTTTTCTTCTGTTTTATCCATTCGATGAAACTTTCTGGTCAACAGGGAGAAATCAAGATTACTGCCTTCAACAATGAAGTGGACAAGTTTTTCACTCTAGTGGAGCAAGGCAAGGTGAGCACATTTCACTGATCCATGTCCATTCTTTAAATGATAAGAGCTTCTTGGAAATTCTTCACAACAATAACTTTTGAATGCATTGTCCATTGGCCAGGATGGCCAAACAGTGAAGGACTGTATGAACTACTGTCTAAAGCCAGCATTTTTTAACAATAAACATGAAATAATAATAATAATTTTATTTTATTTTATTTTTTGCAGTAAAGATGAAAGAAAACTTAAACCAGCCACTAGAGAGCAAAAGCCAGTGTATTGCTTGTGCCGGTCCCAAGCTCGGGTAAATGGTAAATGTTGTGTCAGGAAGGGCATCCGACGTAAAACACTTTTGCCAAAACTATAATGCGAGTTCATCAAAGCAAAATCATACTGGATCGGTTGACGCCCGGGTTAACAACAACCGCCACCAGTGCTGTGGTGCCGGCGGAACTTGTGCTACTGTTAGTCAAAGACCACGAGGAGGGAAACGAGTCAGGAGACAGAGGGAGAAGAGTGAAGTCATGAATGTAGGACTGAGGGTTGCAACTCTAAATGTGGGGACAATGACAGACAAAGGTAGAGAGCTGGCTGGCATGTTGCAGAGAAGGAAGGTAGATGTTTTATGTGTCCAAGAGACCAAGTGGAAGGGCAGCAAGGCTTGCAGCATCGGAGCAGGGTTTAAGCTGTTTTACCATGGTGTGGATAGAAAGGGAAACGGAGTGGGGTGGTCCTGAAACAGGAATTGGCAAAGAATGTAGTAGAGGTAAAAAGAGTATCAGATAGGGTGATGTGTCTGAAGGTAGAAATAGAAGATCTGATGCTAAACATTGTCGGTGGTAATGCTCCGCAGGTTGGATGTGTGGAGGAGAAAGATAAAATTTGAAAGGATCTGGATGAAGTGATGGAGAGTATTCCCAGGGAGGAAAGAGTGGTGATTGGAGCAGACCTGAATGGACATGTTGGTGAAGAAAACGGAGGACATGAGGAAGTGATGGGTAGGTTTGGTGTCAAGGAAAGAAACTAGAAAGGGCAGATGGTGGTGGATTTTGCCAAGAGAATGTAAAAGGTTGTAGTCAACACTTTCTTCCATAAGAGTAGAGGAAGGATTATGCAGGTCGACCACATTCTGTGTAGAAGAGGAAACCTGAGGGAGATTGGAGACTGTAGGGTTGTGGCAAGGGAGAGTGTGGCCAGACAGCATTGAATGGTTGTGTGTAGAATGACTGTTGTTGTGAAGAAGAGGAAAATGGTCAAATCAGAGAAGAAGACCAAATGGTGGAAGCTGAGAAAAGAAGATTGTTGTGAGAAATTCAGAGAGGAGCTGTTAAAGGCTCTGGGTTGTAAGAAATAGCTTTCAAATGACTGGGCTATTACAGCAACAGTAATTGGAGAGACAGGTAGGAAGGTACTTGGTGTGTCATCTGGACAGAGATTGGATGATAAGGAAACCTGGTGGTGGGATAGTGAAGTGCAGGAAGCTGATCAAAGAAAGAGGTTAGCCAAGAAGAAATATGACAGTGAGAGGACTGAAGAGAGGAGACAGGAATATAAGGAGATGCAACATAGAGCAAAGAGAGGTAGCAAAGGCAAAGCAGATGATGAGTTGTATGGAAGGATGGACACTAAAGAGGGTGAGAAGGACTATTACCGAATAGCGAGACTGAGGGATCAGGCTGGAAAGGATGTGCAGCAGGTTAGGCTTGTTAAGAATGTTAATGTTATGACAAGTGAAGAGAGTGTGACGGGAAGATGGAAGGAGTACTTTGAGGAGCAAATGAATGAAGAGAATGAAAAAGAAAGAAGAGTAGAGGTCAAATAAACTGTAAACCAAGAAGTGGGAATGATTAGTGAGAGTGAAGTCCAGAAAGCTATGCTCTCAAAAGAATGAAGAAGGGGAAGGCAGTAGGACCTGATGACATACCAGTGGAGGTTTGGAAATATCTTGGGAGAGTTGGCAGTGAGGTTTATGACTCAAATATTCAATGGCATATTTGAGAGTGAGAAAAGACCTGAGGAAGAGAGAAGAAGTGTGCTGGTGCCTATTTTTTAAGAACAAGGGTGTTGTACAGATTTATAGCAACTACGGGGGAATTAAGTTGATAAGTCACGCAGTGAAGATCTGGGAGAGCGTTGTGGAAGATAAACTTAGATGAGAGGTGACTGTGAGCAGCAGTAAAGTTTCATGCCAAGAAAGAGCACCACAGATGCCATCTTTCTTTGAGGATGCTGATGGAGAAGTACAGAGAGGGTCAGAAAGAACTCCATTGTGTCTTTGTGGATTTAGAAAAAGCATACCATACCATACCATTTTATTTATAGAGCACTTAAAACAGCTACAAGGCCAACCAAAGTGCTGTACAGACAGAACAACAGACAACACACGAAGCAATATACAAAATGAAGTAAATCAAAAATATAGACTTAAAAACAATGCTGATAATAATTATGACAAGAAACCAGTGTGGAGCGTACAGGTTCAAAACACAGATCCTCTGGTGTTGAAAGCTACTGAATAGTAGTGAGTTTTTAAACAGGATTTGAAAACTGAGAGCGAGGGGGCCAGTCTGACAAGCAGAGGTAACTCGTTCCAAAGTCTTGGCCCTGCTACAGAGAAGGCCCTGTCACCTCTGCGCTTAAGACGAATTCCTGGAACTGTGAGGAGCAATTTGTCCGCTGACCTCAGGGATCGTGGTGGGACATACAGTTGTAGCAGATCAGAGAGATTGGGGGGGGGACACTGTTCAGCGATTTGTAGACATACAGGAGTATTATGAACTGGATTCGAAGGTGAACCGGTAGCCAGTGCAATGAGGCCAAAACTGGTGTAATGTGCTCTCTTTTGCCTGTACTGGTTAAAAATTGGGCTGCTGCATTCTGGACCAGTTGTAGTCGTGCAATGGAGGTCTGACTGATACCAAACAGGAGTGAATTGCAGTAATCAAGCCTAGCTGTAATGAATGCATCTATTACTGTCTCCAGGTTCTTTTTGGACAATATGGGCTTCAGTTTAGACAGCTGCCTCAGTTGGAAGAAACATGATTTAACAATCATGTTTACATGATTGTTAAGTTTCAGGGAAGGGTCCATTATCACTCCCAGATTAGTGACTCTTTGTTTTTCTGACAGGGTTAGAGTGGAAAGGTTGATGCACTGGTTTGTTATCATGTCATTGGGAGGGAACAACATGACTTCAGACTTCTTTATGACAGCATATGACAGGGTGCCGAGGGAGGAGGTGTTGTATTGCATGAGGAAATCTGGAGTGGCACAGAAGTTTGTTAGACTGGTACAGGATGTGTATGAGGTAGGGCATTAACAGAGTACTAGAGTAATCTACACATCGAGTCACATCAGGTCACAGAGTATGGTGTAACACCCGGTCCAATCCACCGCCCATCCACTGTTTTAAGTTTCGTTTCTGATATGCTGCACGTTTCTTCACGTTTGCAGTTTAATAATAATAACTAATAGTTTTTTTTTTCCTGTGACTTATTTGCAGTATGGTAAATAGTGGAGCATAATATACGCTCCCAATGTTTTGTTGGTCATTTTTTTTTATAAATAATTACCTTTTATTTCGGTTTTATTTATTTATTTATTTTTGTATCTTGAGATCTAGGACGTCATCAAATACTCGAGTTCTACTCGGGTTTTATTATGTTAATGTCGAGTTTAAAAATTATATACTCGTTCAACCCCTAGTATGAGGACAGCAGGACAGTGGTGAGATGTGCTGTAGGAGTGACAGATACAGTAGCTTTAAGGTGAATGTGGGATTGCATCAAGGATCAGCTCTGAGTCCCTTCTTGTTTGCTCTGGTGATGGACAGACTAACAGATTAGGTCAGGCAGGAACCCTCGTGGACTATATTTGCAGCTGACTTTGTGATCTTTGGTGAGAATAGGGAACAGGTGGAAGATAACTTGTAGAGGTGGGGGTATGCATTTGAAAAAAGAGGAATGAAAGTCAGCCGTAGCAAGATAGAGTACATGTGTGTGAATGAGAGGAAGGCTGGTGGAATAGTGAGGCTACAAGGAGCAGAGGTCACATAGGTGCAGGACTTCAAGTACTTGGGGTTCACTGTCCAGGAAAATGGGGAATGTGGTAAATAGGAGAAGAAGAGAGTCCAGGCAAGATGGAGTGGATAGACAAAATTTTCAGGAGTGATTTGCGACCAAAGGTTGTCAGCAAAGGTCAAAGGAAAAGTTTATAAGACAGAGAAGAGACCAGCTATGTTGTACGGTCTGGAGACAGCGGCACTCATAAAAAGACAAAAGAAAGAACTGGAAATGGCAGAAATGAAGATGTTGAGGTTCTCTTTAGGAGTGACAAGGATGGATAAGATTAGGAATGAGATCATCAGAGGTACAGCACAGGTTGAACAACTGGGATATAAAGTCAGAGAGGCCAGACTGAGAGGGTTTGGACATGTCCAGAGGAGGGACAGTGGGTATATTGGTAGAAGGATGTTAGAAATGCAGCTGCCAGGAAAAAGACAAAGAGGAGATATATGGATGCAGTTAGAGAGGACATGGAGGTAGTTGGAGTGAGGACAGGATGCAGAGGACAGAGTGAGATGGAGGAGGATGACTCGCTGTGGAGACTCCTAAAGAGGGAAAAGTTGAAAGAAGAAGAAACATGAAAGAAAACCTACAATGCTTTCGCAAGAACAGGGTTAAAATCTGAAAACTGTAAAACAATTCACAAACTGCTTTCAAAGTAGATTTGGGTTTTGTATACCCATTCTGCATGCACATACTTCTTAAACAACTATATATTAATGGTAAATTAGTGTCCTTTAAAATTCGTTCAACTCATCACTGTGTAGTTTTAGAACAAAAGTTAAGTGCAAGTTTGTCTTGAAGTATTTTTCATAAAGCCAGGAATATATATTGCTGGTGTCTGTTAAAAGGAATCCTTTGAAGTGTGAACTTTTAATATTGTTTTGCTGTTTTCAAAGTGTCTTCTTATCACATTTGTGTCAGAAATAGCTGCCAGTCTTTATGCTTCTGTTTGAAAGGAAGAACGAGTGTACAGAGTTTTTTTTTGTTGTTGTTGTTCTTCGTTCCAGGCGACAGAGCTTAAAGAAATAGTTTGGTTCTGGTTTTGGTTTTGAGCAATGTGGCACCAGTCTGTCAGTGTAAAACACAGTAGTTGGTCAGGGTGGGCATAAGATGCAGATTGGTGTTGATGTATAAGCAGTATACTTCTGTGAAAGAGGTCATTATAGACTGTTTAAAATATTTTATTTTTATGAAGATTTACTCTATATTTAAATCTGTATTATACAGTATGCTGAAAAAGAACTTCTTTCTGACTGAAAACTAACCATTAAGAGTATATAACAGAAATGATTATGCTCATGTCAGTTCGTTTCTCAAATAATTCAGTTATAAGATCTTTAGGCGACAGCTTCAGTATTTCCTTCTACACCAAGATTGTTAGAAAAATGGTTTGTCTCTAACATGTCTTCTAAGAATGAATTACAAGTCTCAGATCATCATTTTGACAAAACATAGAGAGGGAATACTATACCAAAATAATTTACAGTACTAGTCATGATAATGCAGCATATTTGACCAGCTATTATATCTAGTTGAGGGACTGTTTGATACTAACTAACTTTTGTTTAGAATGCATACATGCAGACACTCAACTCTTATCAACAACCTCACAAGGGCAGATAATCTATCAGAACCACCTTAGTGTTAAACAGAACCATCAATTGTGAGCCTGCAGCTGCAGAAGATCCCCACCTACTGGAAGACATCAAGAAAAAATATTCAACTGGCCCCACCGACTTCAGACTTATCGCCTTAAACACCCTCATTATGAAGACGCTGGACAAGTTGGTCCTCTCTCAAACCAGACTCAAAGTCAACATATTCACAGACCCTTTACCAGTTTGCATATCAGCCCAGTATCTGTGTTGGTGATGCACTTGCGAGAATCCATGGATACCACTGATGTTTGTGTCAGGATAATGGTTTTCAATTTTTCAAGTGCATTCAACACCATTCGGCTGCAGCTTCTCGGTGAGAAGTTGCAGAGAATGCAAGTGGAGTCTGAACTCGTTTCCTGGGTGCTGGACTACCTGGCTGCAAGACCACAATATGTCCAGCTCCAAAACTGTGTGTCTGACATTATTCTTTGCAGTACAGGGGCTCCTCAGGATACAGTTCTGTCACCCTTCCTGTTTACATTTTGGACTTTCAATGCAACCTGGACTCTTGTGTTTTCTTCATAAGTTCTCTGATGATTCTGCTATTGCAGACTGCATCAGGGGTAACAATGAGGAGGAAAATAGAGGCACTAAAAGGAGTTTTGTTGACTGGTGTGATCACAACCATCTGAAGCAGAACAAGACCAAAGAAATTTTTGATTTTAGAAAAAAAGAGGCCCAAACTTGGGCCTGTTTTCCTTCAGGGGTCGCCTGTTGGCAAATGTATTTTTGTCACAGTACTCAAATCCCATACATGCATGAGTTTATTTTAGATTATATATTTCTGCATTAAAAGCTTGCTGCAAATTCTGTCAATAATCGCTATGTAAAAACAACTCTAAAGACTTTAACTAATGTCTTTAACTATGGCTTTTCAATCTGTACAAATCATGAAGATGCTGTTTGAAATAAACACATTGCTAAAAGAATAGCTGATTAAATTCAAATGGCTAATCAAATTGTCATCACTGTTTTCCACTAGAGTACAATAAATAAAAAAGCTAAAGTTTACTTGTGTTGGATTTAGAGACATTTAATGGCAACAATATTTGCAGACTTTAACTAACTTCATTCTCTCTTCCACACCGTCATATCAAAGCATGTTAGAAAAGCTATTGTCATCACGCTCCAAAATAAAAAAAATGAAATAAATAACCTGCTCTTTGATCTTTCCTCTTTTTTTTAACTAAAGAAACTGTTGTAGAAAGCAGATGGATTATGTATTCCTGTTATCATTCCACATCTTCTGATAAGTAACTTTTAGTACGAGGAAAAGACCACAACAAATCTTTCCTTTGTTTCTAAAAACACACTGGTATTTTCTACCTATAAAATGTGTTTAATAAAATTATATTGCATTGGTTCCAATGACACATTCTAAAATGTAGAAACTTGCATTGACAGGTTATGAAAGTGAAATGTCAGATATGGCATGCAAATGCATAATTGAGATGAAGCATAAGAAATTGGTAAGTTCTGCTAAATAACAGGAAAACAAAACTTTTTGTCTTCCAAGTTGGAGAGAAAAGGGATTTAAGTCTCCAAATTAAAAACAGGCTGCTTGCATCTTCCTGTACACCCATATGACATGCACAGAAGAGCTGGAAAAGCTCATACACAACTTTTGGTGCTTGACTACCACTGAATTACTCAATTAACCCTGCTTATTATTCTGATAGTCAGACTGGCTCAGGTTTCAGCCACTAAGAGATTCTAACACAAACCCAGATCCAATTTGTGCCCTCTGCCCTCCGAAGATAAATAAAGGAACCAATCCTTATTCCCTACGCGATCTGGGTATTGACAGAACAGTGAGAGGGTGTGACTGGCTCTGAGAAGCCAGAATGCTTTTCACACAAGTTTCATGCTCCTTTGTCTGCATGTGCTGAGTGAATGCAGAAGGAAGGCAGGCAGGAAGGAATGAAGGAAAGGACAGAATCACAGAAACGAACCCAGAGGCAAAGAGAGAGAAGGGTGTGAGTGTGTGTGTGTGTGTGTGTGTGTGTGTGTGGGGTGGTGGAGTTATTGGGGCCTAGGGAAAGTAAATGAAGGAGTGTGCCTGACAGATTGAGTTTAAATTATGCTGTTAAGCAGCAGACTCCTCTCAACTGCTGCTTATTTTCTGGTGAATTAGAGAAGTGATGGTGCTGATAGTGACACTGTGTCTTAGTTTGACCTAAAGAGTTTTATTTATTTCTTGCTATTTGGAGGTTTTTGTTGGAACAGAGGCTGTAGTTCAAAATACATTTCCTTTCTAGGAACAGAAACATGGTCACCAGATCAAACCACCACAGCTGCTTTCATTCACTTGGTTTAATCTCATTTTGTAACACCAGCATACGTTGCTTTTCCGTTTGCTCTTTAGGTGTACTATATCTCAAAAGCAACATTGAAGGTGGCCAACAAACAGTATACAACACTGAAGCACGACTACGAGATTACCCTCAATGCTCATTCATCTATAATACCATGTGATGACAGTGAGAGCATCCCCACAGTGCACTGTGACTTTGTGCCCATTGAAGAACTGGAAAACCGAGACAAAGATGCCATTATTGGTGAGATATAAAGTTTATAATGTATAACTAATACAATAATTGTTTGAACCGAAATCCTCATTTGTTTATAAAATTTGGAGGTTACTATAACGGGAGCAACTCAAAGTAAATCCCTGTGTATGATCTTAATCTGTCTCTATTAAGAACTGATCTGGGTCCAAGCTTCTGTTGAATGTTGCTTCAGTTCATCAAAGTTTGCAAGCATTTGTTTTTCCAGAATTGGTTTCTGGTCCTGCTGCAACTTTTTATTCAGGTTTAGATCTTGATTCTTTTTTTTTCAGGCCATATCATATCTTATATCATATCATGTATCATATCATATATCATAATATTAATTAATGCAGGCTGGCAGATATTACATGAATTTGTCTGTTATGATTTGATTATAGCTGCTGAACATATAAGCTCCAAATTTCAGAAATCTCTGGTATACAGAGGAGTTCATGACCAACTCAATAAGTGCAAACGGCAAAGGTTCTGTAGCTGCAAAAGAAGCCCAAATCATCACCTTTCCACCACTATGCTTGATAGTTGGTGTGAGGTGCGCTGATATTGCACCCTCAAGAACTTTGCCATGCGAACTAAGACCTGTAAAGTCTTAGATGTTGCTTCTGGGATTTTGCCATTTCTTTATGGTTCAATTGTGGGTAAATTTTCAGAGATAGTCACTCCTAGAAAAATGGCAGGCACGTTTAATGTTTTCAGTTGTGAATAAGAAATGATTCACAAGCGGCTTTTTGGCCCCTCTGCAGCGGCTCTTTTAAGCTTTGACCAAAACCGACATAAAACTGAATTTTATTGGTTGTTATACAAACAACAACAAAATAGTAGTTTTAGCAGTTTTCCTGTCAGTTCCTTTGCAAATATCTGAATGCTGGAACTAGTACAAGGATTAAAACATACTAACTTTATTAAAAAAAAAAAAAGGTTTATAGGCTTTCCAATATTTTCAGTCAGGTCTTCTGGACAGTTTGTTATTTTTTTTGTGCTGAAACGTTTCGCCTTCGATCCAGAAGGCTTCATCAGTCAATGGAGTAAGCTGTTGGGGGAAGAATCAGTTTTGTGTTGTGCGTTTCCTTGACTGGAACAAACCAGTTATGTTGGTGCTAAGATGGTTTCTTTGTCTCGCCCCCTCCTCCATGTATATATGTATACATATATACAGGTACTTCTCAAAAAATTAGCATATTGTGATAAAGGTCATTATTTTCCATAATGTAATGATAAAAATGAAACTTTCATATATTTCCGATTCATTGTACACCAACTGAAATATTTCAGGTCTTTAATTGTTTTAATACTGATGATTATGGCATACAGCTCATGAAAACCCAAAATGCCTGTCCCAAAAAATTAGCATATCATGAAAAGGTTCTCTAAACAAGCTATTAACCTAACCATCTGAATCAACGACGTAACTCTAAACACCTGCAAAAGATTCCTGAGGC